GTTATCAGCTATGCCATGTGTGACTTATCATACTATTCATACAAAAAAGTTATTGAGTGTATGTTTACATTAGTTTTTTTGGTCAAAAAAAGCTACGACGATATTTGTACATAAGCTATCAGGTTTGTGATGTGTATAATTATCAGGCTCATTACAAAAGAGTTTACCGAGATATGACAAACGAGAAAAAGACCGTTGTTCGAATTTTGTAGGAGTGAAACATTTATTTCTCTAGAAAACATTCATCACTACAAAAAAAGAGATAAGTGGAGTACAAAACACGTTCCATCGGCCCTTTGAAAAACTTGGAGCAAATGGTTTTGTCTCCTCGTCAAAGGCGTTGTGGTCTTTCTTTCTCGCTCTCATGTACTAAGATAGAAATATATATTACCCGCAAATGTAACAGAACAGGTCGTCTGCAGCTCTTTTTACGCGCCAGAGCAGAAGCGGATCGAGCCGATCAGAAAGAAACATCGAAGGAAAAAAAATGATCATATGTGCATGTCGCTAACTGCCAGTCGGCAGAAAAATAGCTTTTCCGTTCACTTAATTCTCTTATTAAATCGCGAAAAACACCACCCCGGACTAGAGACGAGACTGCGGTCATAAGCTCCCCGCGCCGACCAGTTTGATGAAATCGGCACACACAGCGCCGACACCGTCGTATATCCAGAGCTTGCCAACCTGCAAACAAAGCGTCGCGCGGCTACCGAAACAGGATACCGTCACCATACCTGCAGCATTTGTTAGATCAATGCTAAGTAATTCATGCATCGACCAAGTAATTCTTGCATCGAGACATACGTATTCATCCTCCACTTGTGAACCAGCTAGCTTTCTTCTCCATGGTAGCCCCAGACAACAATCGTAGGGCTACAAGAACTCAAGATGGTTTCTTTGAGGAACTTATGCTCTGGTCATGCAGGCCATTTACAAGGCCGGCGAGCTCCTGGCCTCCCGGCACGGCGGCACCGGCGCCGCCGTGCGTTTCAGTTTCACATGCACGCTGACAGCTAAGCTGGCCGGCGCGACCAGCCGGAGGACCACCGTTCTTCCGGCGTCGTTACAATTTTTGTTTTTGATTAATAACATAATTAAGGCAGATGAAAGAGAGCCTTTGGATTGAAACCGACGATGGATTTTGAGAGCAACAGCATGCGTACAGTAATAACATTACTGTAGAGGAGCCGAACCCGCCGTGCAGGAGCTTTGTCATGTATCGGCCGTCTTCGTCGTTGTTCCGGGAGCGCTATGTTTCCGCCGAAAAGATGCAGGGTGGGCGGACTGTGTAGAAGAGAAGGCGTCCGCCGTTTCTAGCCGCGGCTAGTCCACAAGGCTACGCACGGGGTGTCTGTTGCGGCACGCCGGGCCAAAAGCACCCCGAAGTTTCTAGCAAGAACCCGTACGCTGATGCGCCATGGTCTACCAGAACCCAGGCGACCCAACATGGGAGCTTTTTTGGAGATCCGGGACGGACTCAACCGGCGAGTAGCGGCACAGCAGCTGTCCCTCTGGCGCGGAGATTTTTTATACCAGTACAACACCTTCTCATCCCAAAGAAAAAAATGGCGGAGACGGCACGGAAGAGAGAGAAGAGAACAACCGGGCAAAAAGGCAGCGCACGTTGCCTCACCTGACCCGCAGCGATTGGACAGCACGTCGCCGTCTCCGGCCCATCCGTTGCCGAGAGCGAACAAAGAAAGGGGCGCATTCCGCGCGCGCCTTCTAGCGAGTGCCGCGGCGACCTTCACACGGGGTCGGTTTGGTTACGTGCCCCGCCAGACCAGACCAAACCGACCCAATCCAAACCAAGCCCCTGAGTTTTTTTGTTATTTTTTTTCGAGTTGGAACCATACCCCTGGGTCGCACACCGCACGTGTACCATTCGCATTGACCCGTCTGAACATGACTAGCACCCACACCATATATCTGGCCGCCAAACCACGCTACCGTCTACAGCTATCGCCACTAAAATACCACTTATGAAAGTTATCAAAAATAATAGTAATACCACTTGTGAGCGGAGCAAATCGTAGTTACTCTTTCTCTACCACTACTACTGTCTCTAGCACAAGCAGGAAGGAGCTATTTACATACAGAATATCAAATGTCGGACCAATCTACCGGGATTGCACTTTTCATTTCTGCAGTACGCTCTACCACGACAAATTACACAACGCATAGTATAGATCAAATGAAACAGGAACATCACAATTACAGGGGTAGAGGGGGCAGCCGAGCTCCCCACCAGCTAGCAAAGTAATGCAAGATCCTATCACGACTCTAGTGATGCTTACAGTATTATTATTTGGTGGTGATTAATAATTAGTAGGTGCTCGAAGCTTCTACAACATCGTCCACTCACCTCGAGTTGGATCTGTCCTGGTCTGACCCGGAGCCGGCCCCGTCCTGCCCGTTGCAGGCCCGGTACACGGGCTTGGGCCGGTATATCGGCCACGACTGCCGCTCCTCGCTGCCGCCGCCCTCGGGCCGCCGCTCCGCTGCCTCCTCCGGCTTCACGTCCGCGCCGTCGCCGTTGCTGTTAGGAAGCTCCCCCCCGTCGCCGTCTTCTTCCTCGTCTCGCGCTCGCTTCAGCCCGATGGAGACGCCGAACAGCCTCGCGTCCGTATCCGGCCCGCCGTCGACGGCGAGGCCGGCGGCCGTGGCCAGCGCCGAGCAGGATGGCATCAGGTCCAGTATCCCCGCGGGGAGCGGCGGCGGAGGCGCCAGCGCCGACTCACCCGAGCAGTTTACTACGGACGACAGCGACCCGGGGCCGCCGTCCGGCTGCTGGCTCGAGGCGAACTTGGACATGAGGCTCACGATGTTGTTGCACAGCTTTTTCATCTGCCCCAGCTCGCGGGTCAACCGCGCGTTATCCCGCCGCAGCCGGTCGTTCTCCTCGCCCATGTCGCCGGACGAGGAGCCCGCGGCGGCGCCGCCCAGGCCGGAGCCTGAGCCGGACGGTGCGGCCAGCGGGAGCTCCTCCGCGGATCCCGAGTTGGACGACAGAACCTGCTCCTCGGAGGACAGCTGCGGCTCCGGCGAGCCGGAGCGCGTAACCGGCAGCGCCATAGGGATCGCTGCAGTGGCAACCGTGACCGCGCCAGCCGCGGCGGCGGCAGCAGCAGCCGCAAGACCCGCCGACTGGACCACCTTCCGGCGGTGTATGTCGCAGAGCAGGCGCTTCTCGCCTCGCCGGAAGCAGTCGTTGGCGAACTCCCACCGGTCCGGCACGATCTTCCTAAATCCCTATACGCCACAGCAAGCAAAATCCAAGGATGAACAACATGGGCATTCCACGCCAAAAATTCCAGAAAGGCCAAATCCCAACCCGAGCCCGAGGAATCAACCAACCGAACCCATGGAGCGAGCGCACGTACGTAGGTGTTGAGCTGCCGCACGAAGCTAGAGAAGTTGTTGTGCTTGAAGTACTTGGGGAGCAGGTCCCGGGCGAACTCCGCCGGCCGCCACACCACGAACGTCGACCCGTCCTCGCCCCACGAGATCACGTCGTCCACCGCCGGGTCCTCCACGAGCTGGTACGTCTTGGTCAGGAACGGCGTCGGCAGGGACCTCTGCCCCGCCGCGTCCGCCGAGGCCACCAGCCCCGGCATCGGCGCCGGGGGAGGAGGCTCCGCCCCAGCCCCGTCCGCCGCCGCGGCGCCATGCTCGGCCGACATCACGCCGGGGCCTCCTCTGCCCCTCCCGGCCGGATCTGGCCCGGGGAACCCCGTAGTAGCTTCCAGATGCGGTAGAGGGCCACCTCACCAAAGAAAGGAACGTACGGAAGAAGCCTTCTGGAAGCTTCCCACGCGGGATTATGAGACTTATACCCAACGGGAGGAGGAGAACGAGGATAAAAATAAGGGAAATGGAAAATTGGAGAGAAAGGCGAGGGGCAAAAGAAAACGCACTTTGATAAAAAATATTTTTTTCTCGACCGCGTCACGACGCACACCACTCGTACCGAGAAAGCCGCGGCGGGGTGGACCCGGCCCGCATGGATATCTTCCGCCGGGCGGCCGCATCGGGCCGTCGGATGGGCATCTGGTGGTGGCAGCGGACGGCCCGGATGGCCTTCGGGCGAGATTTGGTTCTATACGGGGTGGCCCGCGGCATGGGTGCGGTGGGGCCGAGGGGTTAGGAAAGAGCGAGAAACTTCGATGGCTTGTCGCCCTTGGGCTTTCTGGAAGGTTCAGGTCCGCGCGGGCTTGCGCCAGGCTGGATGCGAGCACGTGTCGACCACCCCGCCGGCGGTATGGATAAGATTTTGTTTTGCGAGGGGGACCTGGATTTATGCGTCGGATGCTTGGTATTTGTGCTTTTTCTTGTCACCCTACTATTCGAAGAAGGTTCTCTAAGCTTCGATATAAATTGATTCTTGTGCTTTTTTTGTCAGCCTACCATTCGAAAGAACGTTCTCTCATCTTCTGATACTTGTACATGGTATTTGTGCTATTTTTGTCAGTCCACTATTCGAAAGTTCTACTCCCTTCTTTTCCTGAATACAAGTCCTTTTGCAGATTTCAGTGCGGATTATGTAAAATAAATGAATATATATTTTTAAAATATATCTATACACATCCGTATATAGATTTTACTAGGAAAATGCTCGTGCGTTGCAACGGGGCATACAAATTTTAGTGGTCAACACCAATAATATTTAGCATATATCTTTACTACACTCATGCATATCTCGCACTATTGTCGTTAGCGTTAAATCACTTCTTATTCTCTCACGGACCATCTCCGTCCCTCCGTTTTTCCAACCCAATCTCAACACCTCTCTCACTCTCCATCTCTTAGATCACAAACATGATTCACCGTATGACTTCTAGCTGTGAAAAGCGAGGAAAATATATTTAGAAATGCTTTTTGCCATTGTTCCTATGAATAGAAAAAGGACTCGCCAAATGAAATTTTGATATAGATAAAAGAATAACCATGATGAAACGTTGGTTGCTTTCGGCTGTACTCCATGTAGGAATCCAGTACTATCTTAATTTTGTCCATTGTTTAAGGACTGTGCATGCATTTATGTTACAAACCAATCGTTGAATTTTTAACCGAAGATTATGCCTGGTAATAATTATTGTGTGTTCACCTTTTGGCCGAATATTTGGTATGGTGTTAATTGTTGTGCGGACACCTTCCTAACCAATGCTCCTCAAATCACCTTACGTCATCAGCCACGATCCGTGTCGATAAAAAATATTTGGCATTGTAGACGGGTCCAGATCAGCCGGAATGGATGATCTCCTTATATGAGATGGAGACACACGGGAAGCACCAGCGGCTGGAAGTTTTATTTCGCGCCAGGAAGCCCCAGCGACTGGAAATTTGATTTCGCGCCTTTATTTTCATGTATGGATGTATGGAAGGATGAAAAACTACAGTAGATATAATTACGTTGTGATTCATGATGTTGTGATTCATGGTATTCATGGCAGGCGAGAAAAGGAAAGTTAATTATGGTGATTCTCGATTGCCATACCGGTCGGTGGTGGGACAGATTAAAGTACGGGGGGTGTGCTGTAATAAAATGAAGAAGTGGAGGGTTGTTTCGACAGAAGGCTCCGGTGCTGGTGGATGGACGAAACATGGGCAGGAGACGGTCCTGTTGGCAGGAAAAGGAACACTACGTGTTTTTTAGATAGTAGAGATTAAAATCTCTAGAAAGACTAGGAGCAAAAGGGGAGGTTAGAGAGACCAACAGCTCATATCTCTTTTATACTCTTACCTCTCATGTTTTTACCAATTGTAATGTCCCCATTTGATTTGGCTTTATCTCCTCACTTAGTATTTCCATGTATTGCTCCTTTTTCTTCCCTTCTATGGTCCTTTTCCCGTGAAACAAATTAAATGAATGGATTTCCAATCTTTTGCATTTATTAGTCATTAGTGATCAAATCATAGTGATTGTCTTGAAATATCTAGCAATCTTGGGTTTAAACAACGATGGAATCTCTACTTATTTAAAACATACATAAAGTTTATGTTCCTGCCAAGCAGAACTCTTCGTCAACCACTTCCCCCTCCCCCCTCTCACCATGTCCCTTCACCGGTGGTCTTCGTCCAACCGGTATTATCGTCCCACCATGACATATTTGATTGCAACTTCCCGCAAGCCACTCAATCACATTAATTAACTTACCATTGCATCAATTTCACCTAAATTAACTTACCTTTTGCATCAATCGCGCATATCGTGTAATTTACTTATCTTACGCATCAATTTCATAATTTATGTAACATGCATGACATATCCTACAACTTTTATTATTTTGGTAAGTCTAGATTATTTTCTATACATATTTGATTGTGTATCGGCTCACATGCGCGCTGGGATTCAGAGATCATGCCTGAATAGGCTTAGAAGGCATGGGTTTTGGAAAGTTTAGATTCTGTGAAAACCCAATTCATATATCTCCTTTTCTCTCTAACTTGGTCGAAGAAGATAGGTTGTTGGCGGCCTCACTAGTGTATTTTTCATCTACTATTGTTGTATTAAAAATTATTTGGCCCCCATAATAACGCATGAATAATTACCTAGTGAGTGTAAAAAAAATACACTCGTCAACCTCCCCAAACTTAATACTCCAATTAAAAAAAATACACTCATCAACATTAATTCCTAAGACACCAGTTAACATTGATAAGTGATAATGGTAATCGATTCACACTAATTATACATAGATGGACGAGGGTGGAAATGGGGCGATGGTGTTGATGATGGAGATGGTGAAGATGGCTTGGACGAAGATGTTCCCCTTGATATAGGAGTTGGTGATGACGGTTGCTTCAAATTCCCCTTGACAGAGTAGGTAGATTTGGCCGAAAACAACCCTTGGGGAAGAGAACTAGGGTTCCGCCTTGCCGTAGTGGCAGAAAAAATCTAGCAAAAATTGATATGGAATCCACACCGGGAGAAACATAGCTACCACACAGGGCACAAAGGGAGCCCTACGGCCCGAGGCGCCATGTAAGGTGGTCGCCTAGGGTACGCACCTAAGCCCACTAAGTTACCTCCATCTAGCCCATGGCCTATTTTTTGTGCATATCCACGACATATTTTGTTTCATTTTTTGGCCTTCGGAAAATATACTTTCTTCGTGAATCTCCAATCCCCCTTCCACAACCACTCTGATAATTATTCTGACAATTGTCAGCACTATAAGATAAACTTAAGTTAAATTGAAACAAAGTGATTCAATACGCACAAAAGTAGAGTATTTATCGTCTGAAATTATAATCCAAAATATATGTATCAAACCCCCAAGTTGTGGGTCAAAAACTACAGGTTGAAGCTACCAAGATCTTTGTTGGGAAATGTTGCATGGAAAACAAAAAATTCTACGCGCACACAATGATCTATCCATGGAGATGCATAGCAACGAGGGGGAGAGTGTGTCTACGTACCCTCATAGACCATAAGCGGAAGCATTTGACAACGCGGTTGATGTAGTCGAACTTCTTCAAGCTCCGAACGATCAAGTACCGAACGTACGACACCTCTGAGCTCTGCACACGTTCAGCTCGGTGACGTCCCTCGCCTTCTTGATCCAGCAAGGTGTCGTGGTAGTAGATGAGTTCCGTCAGCACGACGGCGTGATGACGGTGATGGTGAAGTGATCCTCGCAGGGCTCCGCCTAAGCACTACGAAAATATGACATGAGAGTAAACGGTGGAGGGGGCGCCGCACATGGCTAGGCAATTGTCCGAGGTGTGCTAGGGGCTCCCCCCACATATATATAGGTGGGAGGGAGAGGGGAGGCAGCCAGGGTGCGCCCCAAGTAGGATCCGAATCCTACTTGGGGTTTCCCCAAGTGCCCCCTCCTTATTTCACTAGAGAAGAAAGGGAAGGGGGAAGAGAGAAAGGAAAGGGGGGCCGAACCACCTTTTGCCTTCTCCCAATTCGGCCTCCTGCCATAGGGGGGTGCGCCACTCCTTGTGGGCTGGTGTGCTCCCCTCTCATGGCCCATATGGCCCATATATTCCCCTCGGAGGTTCTGGTAACCCCTCCAGTACTTCGATAAATACCTGATACACTCCGAAACACTTCCGGTGTCCGACTACTATCGTCCTATATATAAATCTTTACCTCTCGACCATTTCGAGACTCCTCGTCATGTTTGTGATCTCATTCGGGACTCCGAACAACATTCGGTCACAAAATCACATAACTCATATAATACAATATCGTCATCGAACGTTAAGCGTGCGAACCCTACGGGTTCGAGAACTATGTAGACATGACTGAGACACCTCTCTGGTCAATAACCAATAGCGGAACCTGGATATTCATACTGGATCCTACATATTCTACGAAGATCTTTATCGATCGAACTGTTATGACAACATACGTAATTCCCTTTGTCCATCGGTATGTTACTTGCCCGAGATTCGATCGTCGGTATCTTCATACCTAGTTCAATCTCGTTATCTGCAAGTCTCTTTACTCGTTCCGTAATTGTAACATCCCAAAATTTCAATTTGGAATGTTATACATTAGGTCATCATTGCATATCATATTTTATTGCATTTTGGCTTGATCCTAGAAATTCTACGCAACTCAAGGACCTACGAAGAGAGTTGGGGATTTCATTATTTTCATATTTGAGTTTTTCTCGAATTTTGAAAAGAGGATCATTTGATTTTAATTATTTTCTCTTCGAATATT